AAAGGCTGCCTCATTGAAGGCCTGTTTTGAAAAAGAATGGAGCTCGACAAGTCATTAATAGTAGACTATGAGGGGTGCCTCTTGTCTGCTTTCACCTTAAGGAAATATACAAAGGACATGTAGGTTCTTTGCAGATGAAGCGACCACACATTTGACTCAACGTAAAGGCTTTCTACGGGGCTGGTGCGAAAAGCACCCGTAGAAAGGCGGATGCCCGAATGGTGCACGGGATCCAGCATCTTCAAAGCACTTTGAGTCGCAGACTGATAAACAATGGCCCCATAATCTAAGCGGGTGCGAATAAGGCTTCTATACAGGTTCATGAGGCATTTCCTGTCACTACCCCACGTAGTACGTGACAACACTTTTATAACATTCATGGCTTTTATACATTTTGTTTTTAAATACTTTATGTGGGGTACGAAGGTCAACTTGTTGTCCAAGATTCAGCCTAAGAATTTATGCTCGGCTTTGACGGACAGTTGTTGACCGTTCAGTTGAATGTCGGGTTCCGAGTGCATGCCTCTCTTTCGAGAGAACAAGACACACGTGCTTTTTTGTGGGTTAAGTTGAAATCCGTTTTCATCTGCCCATTTGGAGACCTTATTTAAACCCAGCTGAACCTGCCGCTCACACATGGCCAAGTTGCATGACTTGAAGCCAAGCTGAACGTCGTTGACATATGTACAATAGAACATATTGCGGGGAATGGACAAGTGCAAAGAATTCATTTTAATAATAAAAAGTGTGCAACTAAGCACACCACCTTGTGGCACGCCTGTTTCCTGGACAAATGTTTGGGAGAGCACACTGCCCAGACGGACACGGAATGTCCGGTTTGACAGGTAACTTTCGATTATACGAAACATTTTTCCGCGCACACCAAGGTGGGACAGGTCTCTTAGAATTCCGAAACGCCATGTTGTATCATAAACCTTTTCGATATCGAGGAACACAGAGAGAAAATATTGTTTATGGACGAACGCGTCTCTGATCTGTGCCTCGATACGAACGAGGTGGTCTGTGGTGGCTCTACTTTCTCGAAACCCGCACTGAAATGGGTCGAGCAAATTATTTGTTTCAAGAAAATGTACAAGTCGGCAGTTTATCATTTTTTCGAAGACTTTGCACAAGCAGCTTGTAAGTGCTATAGGCCTATAACTCGAGGGTAAAGAAGGGTCCTTGCCCTCTTTCAAAATGGGAATAACAATAGCCTCTTTCCAGGAGGTAGGAATAGTGCCAGAAGACCAAATAGCATTGTACAAACAAAGTAAGGTTTTTCGGGTTTCGTTTGGTAGGTTTTTTAACATTTCATACATCACACGGTCAGAACCTGGGGCAGAAGTACTGCAGGAGTTTAGAGATGTTTGGAGCTCAGCTAGATTGAAAGCTTGGTTATATGCCTCGTATCTAGTGGATTTGTGTTCGAGTTTCTGCTGTTCTATTATTGTTCTGTATTTTTGGAAAGTGTCAGTATAGTGGGACGAGCTGGATACCTGTTCGAAGTGTGCACCGAGGAAGTTTGCCTGATCTTCCAAGGTATCACCCTGAGTGTTTACGAGTGGAAGTGTGTGTACTTGTTTTCCTGCTATCCTACCGACCATGTTCCAGACTTTAGCCTCCTGTGTGTATGAATTAACCCCTGATAAAAACTTCTGCCAGCTTTCTCTTCTTGCTTGCCGACGCGTTCTCCTGCCTTGAGACTTTATTTTCTTGAAGGTTTCAAGATTTTCGGCTGTCGGTGAGTTCCGAGGCAGCCTCCAAGCTCTGTTTTGCTGTTTGCGCGCGTTTCGGCATTCAGAGTTCCACCATGGCACACATCGTTTTCCGGGGTGTCCATTTGTTTGTGGGATGCATTTTGTTGCAGCATCAATCAAAAACGCTGTGAAGTAGTTCACAGCAACATCAATGTTCAAAGTACAGATGTCATTCCAACCTAGACAAGCGATAGTATGAAACTGTTCCCAGTCGGCTCTGTTTATGAGCCACTTGGGAACACGTGGTGGACACTCAGTTACTGTCGTTGTGCTCAAAACTACGGGGAAGTGGTCACTTCCGTACAGATTACTGACGACGTTCCACTGAAGTAGAGGCACAAGAGATGGAGATACTATGCTCAGGTCTATGGAGGAGTAGGTGTTATTAGCGAGGTTATAATAGGTTGGTTCCTTTCGATTTAGTAGACACGCGCTCGACGAGATAAGGAACTGTTCGATCAGTCGACCTCGTGCGTCATACCGAGAGTCACCCCATAGCCTGCTATGCGCATTAAAGTCTCCAAGGAGAGCATAAGGCTCCGGAAGTTCATCAATTAGAGAGTGTAAATCGCGTTTTTGCAGCTGATTGCTAGGAGGAATGTAAATAGTGCAGATTGTGATCAGTTTATCAAAAAGAACCGCTCGAACAGCCACTGCCTCAAGGGGTGTTTGGAGTTGTAAGTGTGTGCATGCTATTCCTTGATTCACTATGATGGCAACACCTCCGGATGATGTCATGGCATCAACACGGTCTTTGCGGAAAATAACGTATTTACGAAGAAAATTTGTGTGTTTTAAATTAAGGTGTGTTTCTTGTACACACAGCACTTTTGGCGAGTGTTCATGTAAGAGTTCTTGGATGTCGTCAAGGTTTCTGAGAAGGCCCCTGACGTTCCATTGTATAATTTGAGTGTTCATGGTGAATGTGAAATAGTGCTGTGTGTACGAAAAGCGAGTGGCTGTTTAGACGGGGAGTTTGAGTTCACTTAACAGGGCCATCACCAGGCCCTGTTATTTGCTTTTTGTTTTCTTGGCGCGCTCCAAGGAGCCACGCCGCTCTTTCGGCACCAAGGGTGCCGACGTATCCATTGCCTTCTCGGAGGCACTGGATGCCCGCACATGCGGGCTGTTAGTTCGGATTTTGGGCCTCGCCTGGTGAGGGGAGGCCTGGAGACCCGAAGACTCTGGAGTCTCCGGTCTCTGTTTGGGAGTAGGCGGTGTAGCCTGGGCTACAGCCGCCTTGGGGGCAGGTGCCACAACCGCCGGCTCGGTATGCGCGGGCCGGAGGGGTGGCGAGGGCTGGTGCGGCGGTGCCCCCTGACGCGCCGCATCAGCGTATGTAGGTCCATAGAATGGAGCGACTCTTCGCCGTGCTTCCTTAAATGTAATGTTCTCCTTCACCTTCAACGTAATTATTTCTTTTTCTTTTTTCCAGTATGTGCAGGAGCGTGAATATGCGGCATGGTTTCCTTCGCAGTTTACACAGTGTGGCGGTTGTTTGCAGTTCTCAGACACGTGGCCTAGGACTCCACATTGTCTGGCGACCACGACAGGTTTTAGAGCCATGGCCATACCTCTGGCATTGGAAGCAACGACGAGGGTTTGGTATGTACGGCCTGATAGATGTCTTTGTGTACCCTGTTTGAATTGATTCCGGTAGTTTACTGGATGCAAATGTAAGTATTAAGTGTTTTGTCGGTGTTTCCTTATTATCTTTTCTGATGATGATTCTCTGTACATTAGTGACATTTTGGCTCTTCCACTCCTCCAAAATTTCAGTCTCAGTCAAGTCAAGTAAGTCCATGTCAGATACCACTCCGCGAGTTGTGTTCATTGATCTATGTGGTGTTACGGTTATTGGTATGCCACCGAAATCTGAGAGACGGTCTAGCTTTTTAAATTGTTCTTTGTCACGGATTTCGAGGAGAAGGTCTCCACTAGCCATTTTGGTTACCTTGTATCCTGTGCCAAGAGTTTCGGTAAGACATCTAGAAACTAGGAAAGGAGAGACGGTCCTGGCTTGCTTTTCAGTTTTTTCACAGTGAATGACGTGGAAATGGGGAAAAGTTTCTGGTGGCTGGTTGAAGAGATTTATGTCGTCGGTGCGTACCCGCTTTAGGCCGGTACGATCAGATAGTAGAGGGAATGCGCCATGCATGCCGGTCTTATTTTTGTTCAGCAGCGTTGGCAGCCACCCACCACGGAGCCCAACAAGGGGACGCTGCAAGTTTACAGGTGCTGAAAGCTTGCAGACGTCAGCCGTACAACACTGCCATAACCCAATGCGCCTAGACCAAGGTAGGCTATTTGCACAGGGTTAACCCTTGCCGCCAGGAAAATTGGAAGTGAACAGAAGAGAGTAGAAGACAGGACAGATAGATAGTGAGAGATAAAGACGAAGATGTAGGCAGAGAGAGATAGGAAAAGGCGACTGCCGATTTCCCCTGGGTGGGTCAGCCCAGGGGTGCCGTCTACGTGAAGCCGGGGCCAAAGGGGTGTGTTGCCTCTGCCAGGGGGCCTTACAGGTCCAATCAACCAGCGTCGGCTCAACCCCCAGGATCCCCTTTTCCCCGGACACGGCAAAGCCACGCACGGCTAGGCGTGGGAGGGAGTAGAAACTCCCCCGTTAGCTCGGGTCCGTGGTGTCGCTACACACCAAACGCCTACTTGCGCAGGCGCCCCTGCGGGGGTGGATGGAAAGATGTAGCAAATGTGTGAGCTGTTAGATTACGATACTGTTGTCACCTTCGGGCAATGGTGGAGAAGCGAAACTCACAGCAATGGCAAAGCGCCTACTGGGTACATACATTGCTTTGACTCCACGACAGGAGGTCAAATGGACAAGCGATATTCCCGCCTGTACGTCGGGCCTTCCCATGGCCATAGATTGGCCTCAGGCGGAGTGATCGTGTTCTAAATATATACAGTGACATTTGTGACAGCCCTAATCCATTTCACCTCAGTATTAATGAGGGAAAGGTTGGAGATAGGTGTCAACCTTACACTTCTAAAATGCTAGTCTAAAGTGACTTACATTGCGAGCGTCACGTGCAGTGCCATGGTTTGCACCTACTTGCAATAACGAGTGCCGCAAGAGTGGTGTGTCCCGACTTTTCGGCCTATACCAGGTTTGCTCAGAACAAATGTTTATTCTCCCTTTATTGACCCTTCATTGGACATGTGCGCTGCCCGCTTAGCTTGTACATTCATGCATGAGTATGTATTAAAAGCACGAACGCATGGTAAAGGTAGCAGAGTAGGATTATTTATTCAGCAACCTTCAAAACTTCGATCGTTTCCTCCCTGATGTCCTTCCAGAGGTCCATGAAGGAAGACTGCTTTTCTGCCTCCAAAATGCGATTCTCCATCTTACGGAGCAGGTGGGGCGTGAAGTAATTTTTCCAAGTTCCAACTTTTCCAACTCTCACGTAACAGTACTTGTTCTCGTCGCCTTCATGGCCTTCCCTGCAGGTAATCTTCCTTCGTGAGAGCACCTCGTTCCATTGGGGGTTGTTTATGTCCGTCGCATCGAAAACAGCCACGTTGCGCATGTATTCCGGCTGCGATCTTTCCAGTAGCTTTTGGAATAACGCTTCATCCATCTCTAAAGCATGCCCGTAGTGCTCACCCAGAAAGTACGCTAGCCTCAGCGCCACTTCACGGGTGTTTCTTTTGAGTTCCTCGTAAGTGACAAAGAACACATTTGGTTCTTCTCTCAGAGCGTAACCCGCTGCTACGTGTTCAAAGTAGTCCCCGTAGCCGAAATTGCCACTGACAAATGTGTCGACAAAATCTTCGAACGTACCGTTGAGGTATTCGTAAGTGGTTATGTTGGTCACCATATGGTAGAAAGACACGCAGATGTCCCACGGGTTGCGGGCGATGTAGATATACTTGCCTTCCGGAGTCATGGTGCACTTGTTCAACGCCAAGTGCGTAGCGAACAGCCTTAGAGGCAGAGACGAGCTGAAGTCGTTGGTGTCCATGTACTCAAGGAAGCGCCATTCTTTGTCAAACTGTTCGCAAGTTGTCATTAACTGTCCTTTTCTGAGAATGAATTGTGTGATGAACATCATCCAATGTGTTCCGCTCTTCGGAAAGCTAACTTGCACGACGTCTCCTTTTCTTCGCTCTTAACTTGAGTTTTTCTTTCAGCCTGTCCGGACTCAGGAAAATGCACCTCTTGACTCCATCAATTATTTGGCAAGCAGGTCTTTTTTCTCTCCATGTAATCAGATGTTGCTGAAAGTATAAAAACAGCATTTCATCAAGCCCCAGTCAATATTTTTTTATTTACACACCTTATTATCTGGCATGGGAACTTTCGTCACATAGACTAAACTGATATTGATACAAAAGACTAAGTTTCCTTATATTGTTAAACATTGTTAAATATGCACTTCTAGTAATTTTGTAAGGTCTGATGATTGACGCGAAAGCACCGAATTGCTCATTGGGTGAAGATATTGCGTGTGTAGCAGTGAAACGGTGCTTAACTTTATAATGTGTGACACCATGTTTCGTGTGCGCGTCGACGAGTCAGAGTGGCGGAAAAGGCACACTTGTTGCAGCTCTGGCCACTTGGGCGTCGCGCGACGGGAGAAGACATTTCCCATTGCCATAACGTCTCTCTCATGCTCCAACATCACGAGGGTAAAATACGAACAACGTTAATGTTGAAAAGGCATAGTAATTTGGTTAAGGATAAAAAAAAGGAAGGTGGTATTGGCACCCGCTATGTTAGGCTAGTTCAATGCTTTGATAAAAATTACTACAACCACGTGAACGCATCATTTGTAAGTTTGTACTTTTTGCTTCTGTGCGTTGATAGTTTCTGTAGTAAAAGCCGAAAACATATTTTACCTCTGAGATGCAATAAATATCGGCGGACACGTAGAAGGGTGTCCTGAAGTAAAAACAGCGGGATATATAGCAAAGCCTGTGAGAGAAAATATTCAAAATGCCATTACATATCGTCATTATCATTTTACAGCTTACTGCAATCACGTTTTTTGAGTACAGCTTAACCAAGCAATAATAAAAGCACTCAAGGACAAAATTCTCGTGAATACAAAGGAATAGGGCGTCCCCAGTGAATGCCCTTTGGGATAAATCCTTTTTTCCTCTCTCGACAGGCAAAAATTCAGAAAACACTCCTGCAATAACAAAACAAAAGGTAGTCGACCACAACGTTCTTTTTTTCAACCAATGAGCTATAGTTGGGAAACCAGGAGTTAGAAAATTGCAGCACCACTCGTTCGACTGATCGGGCACATACGTTTCTGTCTACAAATATCGGCGTGACCTTTGTTGTTTACATTGAGTGCAGAATCATCACAGAAACAAGATTTATTATTATCTTTTTCACTGAAAACAGGTTTGCCTTACGGGTGCATGGCTATGTTCATTGAGTTCTAGCGAAGCATCATTTAGTTAACTTCCGTTTAAAGTCCAGTTTCTTTTGTGTGCTTGTCATATTGTGCTTGTGTCGCTGCGTCTTGTCCAGTGGTTCGCTGTCCAGTGCTAAGATTGCCTATGACCAACTGCAGTGGCGCAATTTTTCTTGTGCTCCTCAAGGCCAACTTGTAATATGTTATAGTCTTTAATTTAAGGAACAGTTTCCTGTCTGGTACGTTGAAACATTGAGCATCAATTAAAACAGCAATAACATATACAGAAACAAAAACTTCAAGTGGGAGTTCATTTGGACTGAGCACCCCTTATCAGTGTAGGCAGTATTACTACACTTCTCATACTGTTTTCTCGTTTGAAATGTTGGAAAGGCAGCTCACCTGTTGTGATTCGTAAGCACGAGTCGACTGGACAAATCTAGGCTGCGGTCTTGCACTGGTGTTGCAATGTAGAACAAGAGTAATTTTCCCTGAGTCACGTTATTCGTTTGGAAGGAAACCCGTCAGTGATGGCACACCCACAATGGGGCAATAACTGCTTTTTGTCCTTAGTCCTCAGAATGACGGGCTTCGAAAGAGCCATTGCCCTTCTGTACTGGCACACTAGAGATAGCGAATGCGTGTCATTCTTTTGACGCAAATGACCAGACGGCTCTTTTGTTCTATCCTCTTGTCAGAACATGGATATCGCAACGACGTTGCAGTTACATGTACATACGGTTTTCATGCCAAGCACCCCCCCCCCCTTAAAACACTGACCCAAGAGATAAGAATCAGCGCGTTTCAGGACTTGCTCATCATCCTTGTTTACTGCGATAGGAGCACAGTCGAATAAGATAATAAATCATCAAGTTTTTGCTTATAGGGCACAAAACATTGTGCGCAGTTTGTATATATAATGAATTTACGCATCCGAAACAAGGTGTTTATTGCCTTTCGTCCTCTCGTGACGTTTAATTTTGTTCTATCAAAGAGCGTGCAACAAATAGCTCCCATGAAGTCATAGACATTCATTTACTCGAGGAAGCACCATTGTTTGACGAACTCTTGGTATGGTGCCACCTGTTGTTCATTCCGTAGAACAATTTGCGTGATGGAGAATAGCCAACGCGTTCTATTCTTTAGAAATGTTGACTGCATGAGGACACATTTTCTCTTTCTGAATTCGAGTCTTTTTTTCTACCAGTCGGGACTAAGCGCGATGCATCTCAGAATTTCGTCTATTAATAAAGGGACCCTGCAATGCTCTTTGAAGTAGTCCTGGAATAAATTTACTGAAGGGGTTTAGCGCCTCACGAAATTGCCACCACAAAATTTTTTAGAAATAAACCGCCAGGCCTGCGCAGAACGAGCAGCACAGTCACAGCGAAAGCTGAAAGATCGGCCTTTCAAAGCCTCTTCTAAACAGGCTTTGAAACACTTTCTGGGAAACTGCTACAAACAGGCTTGCTGGCTACCCACTACGCCATAAGTAATCATAACTTTTATGTGGTAGGCGAGCATTTACTATGTCATGCTTCGTCATTTTCAGCATAAGCCTGGTATCCGCTACAAACTTGCAAGAAATGTTGTGCAATTTTTTATGCAGTGGCTGACCATGATGAAGAATTATGCCTGTAGTGGGTATGTGCCAAAGTTGATAGGCGATGAAAAACAATCATTTGTAATGGGTTAGAGCACTGGACGAGCGACTAATTACACAATTCGCATTTTGTGACGCCTGGTTGTTCCTTTGCTCTTCTAAAACGCTTCATTATTCATACTATTGCGATTGCTTTCCTGACGTCAAGCCTGCTTAAAGCTAGTTTGCAATTGAGTTTCAAGCACCGGCATGGCTCTGTGGTAGAATACGGGGCTAGCACTTCGGGGACCCGGGTTCAAATCCCGCTGCGTTCTTGGTGTTTTAGGGGCGAAGCTCCTTAGGGTGTAGGTCGTGCCTCTCGTAATAATAAGTTGTAGTAGTAGCCACTTCTAGTTAATTTTATCGATTGCTCACTAGATGGCGTTGTGTGTATATGCCCTCGGATATAATATCATTAGGGGGCACATCAGTGGTTTTCGTATAGTTGACAGATGGACAGATGGACGGACAGAAAATTTCGTATAGGGGACGGACTGACGGTTGGTTACGAACACCGGCGGCAGCGGACAACTACGGCACCGAACGCGACCCTTGTGATCTCATAACAGCCTTCGCTGTAATGCGTCACGTACGAGCAGAGATTTAAAAATTTGACACATGCTGCAATTGCATCCCCTCTTCTCTCATTCCGACCAAATCACTAGACGTTGAGCAGAAAGAGATGGCACAGGGGAAAAATACGTCACGCTCGCTTCATGTCCTCGACCATTTTTTCTCTTCATATGTTCTTCAAATGTGCAGCTTTTCAGTGTAGTCGAGTGTGCACTTGTGGACGAGTGCACACTCGACTACAAGTGCACACGAGTCGTGGATATGCCGCAGCGGCCTCAGTAACGACCGAGTGTGGCGTGCTCTAGTCGGCCAATAGCTGCTACTTAGGCTCGGACGTAGTGATTTTTGAGCCTGTAGCTTATTCGAGGGAAGAAAAAACCACTTTATGGTGACAGCTCGTTACGGTCAAGCCATCTACACCATCCACCAGTGATGACGATGACGCTGATGACTATGAAAAACAAGCGCGTTCCAGATCAGATTCTCTTTCTGCCATAACGACACTGCACATGCAATAGTCTATTTTCGTTTTTTTTGTAATTGCTACCGCAAGGCATTAAAAAAAAAAACGTAAAGTGTGGATCAAGATTTTTGTGAACATCAGAAATCTCTGAGGCCATACTTTAAGGTTCGGTTGAAAGGTTTGCGGTGGCGTGGAAAATATTTGCGCACAGTGTAAAATTTTTTTCCATTTTATTTCACATTTAAAGTTCCTTTTTGTTGCAGTACATAACTACTCAAGCTCATTTTAAGAGATAGAAGGACTACAGGAAAGATCAGGAAGGCAACTAGAATGCGTCCAGCTTGCTACCCTACACGTGGAGAAAACAGAATAAGGGAATAATAGAAAGAAAGAGTGGTGTAGTTAAAGTTTCATACAGCACACACATTGCAGGTTTTCACCAGTGGTCACTCGATCATGCTGCCCTCAAGAATTGTAGAAGGGCTAGTGTGGCTTTTGTATTTCGGCTTCTAGGCTGTTGTACTTGAAGACCACACATCCAAGGTTTTCTCCTGAGTAAAGTGGTGATAATTCATACTACTATAGGCACACTAGGAAGCCCAGCGATGTTATACAAAATTGATTGCATGAAAGGAAGACATCAGAGCTAGAAGAAGTTGCACGAAAAAAATGAAAACTCTGCATGCACAACTGCGATTTGGACGTGAACTTTTCTAGTGGGAAGTGGGCATTCTCCACTTTATATACTTTGGTGCTGTGACTGTTCCGAGCACTTTCCTTTCGAGTTTGCTCTACTTATGCTAGCCCAAAGAGGTTATTCTAAAACTTCTGGAGTGGTGGAGGTGCTCTGTGGCTGGAGTCGACCGCTGCCATATTGCTCAGGGCAAAAAGCGGATGGGGGCATTTTAGCGTACGTGGCTTTGACGTTGTTTTTGCGCTAGTAATGGTGTGTGTGGTGCCTCTCATTGAACCAGATGGTTCTGAATACGTCTGTGATCACTTTTTGAGACGACAATAGAGGGCTCTTGGGTAGCATTCGGCTGCGCGAATCATGTGAAGCGGAC